AATTTGTTTAAATTGTTTTGATTTAAAGTAGCTATACAAACCCTTTAATTTGTTTAAATTGTTTGATTTAAAATAGCTATACAAACCCTTTAATTTCACTATATTGTTTAATCTAAAATAGCTATACAAACCCTTTAATTTGTTTAAATTGTTTGATTTAAAATAGCTATACAAACCCTTTAATTTGTTTAAACTGTTTGATTTAAAATAGCTATACAAACCCTTTAATTTGTTTAAATTGTTTAATTTAAAATAGCTATACAAACCCTTTAATTTGTTTAAATTGTTTGATTTAAAATAGCTATACAAACCCTTTAATTTCACTATATTGTTTAATTTAAAATAGCTATACAATCCCCTTTAATTGGTTTAAATTGTTTGATTTAAAGTAGCTATACAAAGCCTTTAATTGGTTTAAATTGTTTGATTTAAAGTAGCTATACAAACCCTTTAATTGGTTTAAATTGTTTGATTTAAAATAGCTATACAAACCCTTTAATTTGTTTAAACTGTTTGATTTAAAGTAGCTATACAAACTCTTTAATTTCACTATATTGTTTAATTTAAAATAGCTATACAAACCCTATAATTTGTTTAAATTGTTTGATTTAAAGTAGCTATACAAACTCTTTAATTTCACTATATTGTTTAATTTAAAATAGCTATACAAACCCTATAATTTGTTTAAATTGTTTGATTTAAAGTAGCTATACAAACTCTTTAATTTCACTATATTGTTTAATCTAAAATAGCTATACAAACCCTTTAATTGGTTTAAATTGTTTGATTTAAAATAGCTATACAAACCCTTTAATTTGTTTAAATTGTTTGATTTAAAATAGCAATACAAACCCTTTAATTTCACTGTATTGTTTAATTTAAAATAGCTATACAAACCCTTTAGTTTGTTTAAATTGTTTGATTTATAATAGCTATACAAACCCTTTAATTTCACTATATTGTTTAATTTAAAATAGCTATACAATCCCCTTTAATTGGTTTAAATTGTTTGATTTAAAGTAGCTATACAAACCCTTTAATTGGTTTAAATTGTTTGATTTAAAGTAGCTATACAAACCCTTTAATTGGTTTAAATTGTTTGGTTTAAAATAGCTATACAAACCCTATAATTTGTTTTAATTGTTTGATTTAAAGTAGCTATACAAACTCTTTAATTTCACTATATTGTTTAATCTAAAATAGCTATACAAACCCTTTAATTTGTTTAAATTGTTTGACTTAAAATAGCAATACAAACCCTTTAATTTCACTGTATTGTTTAATTTAAAATAGCTATACAAACCCTTTAATTTGTCTAAATTGTTTGATTTAAAATAGCTATACAAACCCTTTAATTTGTTTAAACTGTTTGATTTAAAATAGCTATACAAACCCTTTAATTTGTTTAAACTGTTTGATTTAAAGTAGCTATACAAACCCTATAATTTGTCTTAATTATTTAATTTAAAATAGCTATACAAACCCTTTAATTTGTTTAAATTGTTTGATTTAAAGTAGCTATACAAACCCTTTAATTTGTCTTAATTATTTAATTTAAAATAGCTATACAAACCCTTTAATTTGTTTAAATTGTTTGATTTAAAGTAGCTATACAAACCCTTTAATTTGTCTTAATTATTTAATTTAAAAGTAGCTATACAAACCCTTTAATTTGTCTAAATTGTTTGATTTAAAATAGCTATACAATCCCCTTTAATTGGTTTAAATTGTTTGATTTAAAGTAGCTATACAAACCCTTTAATTTGTTTAAATTGTTTAATTTAAAATAGCTATACAAACCCTTTAATTTGTCTAAATTGTTTGATTTAAATTAGCTATACAAACCCTTTAACTTCACTATATTGTTTGGTTTGAAATAGCTAAGCCTACTATGCCAACTATACCTGAGAGCAATCCTGTAATGTTTGATTGCCAGTTCCATATTCCCCAAATCCTTCTGTAAGTTCGCGTAGTTGTAGTGGACCTTGGCATTCTGAGGAACACTTTCGAGCCCTGACCTGCAGATGAAAGTATTAAAATTGATCTTTCCAGGTGTTTCCGCAGTCACATAAGTACACTAATCGTAATATCACGTAATAAAGAGGTGAGTGACAAAGGTAGGTTGGTAAAGTTTAAATACCCCAATAGATGACAAAATATCATATAAATATCGATATCCCACCAATAAATGAACTTAGAAATAATATTTTAATATTTCATTTACTCGCTCTAAAGCCTTTGAATTACGTGAATTCAGAACTAATACTAACTTCTGTTCCCATCAAGCTGTGTACTCGGAGTGAATCTGAAAATCAACCTAGCAATCAGTATAGTTAATTAGTCATAGCTATAGAGATTAGAATACATTGTTTCATCAGTTCAGTACTCTCGTTCTTAACGACATTTTCGGCCATAATCCCAATATTATCTCACAAGGTTCGGCCAGGTTAGATTAGTTTTAAATTCATATTATTTCTCTTGTGGTATATGTGACTGCTCCTTGGTATCTCTTGAATGTTTAATTTCATTTATACTCAATTTAGTAAGCGGCAACGAACGTGTTTAGATACAACTTGGGGCTAAAAGCTAGTAGCAATTTACAATGAACCAATAATACGTTGTTATCCAAGCAATCCAGGTTGCTAAGAGACGGTATCGTCTTGATATTTCAGTAGACTAATATCCAAAGATACTGTATGTCATTATTATCTAGTAGCCTGAGTTACATATAGTTAATATTGTGTTGATGTCTTTGTAACTCCAGAAGTTCAGCTTCAGAAGATAATACTCAAAAGGTTCAGGATGATAACTAAATGTGGCCAAAAGGTGAGCATGCCCCTACTGTGAATGGGAGTAGACCTGTTGTCACCAAAACGCGCTACGTACTTTAGGGTCGTTGGTTCGCTACAAAGGTCATGGTTAAACCCAAGATGTAGCTTTGTTTGGTTGTTGTCAATCGCAAAGATACTTAGTGGACTCTCTGTGCTTTGCTCACGCAGGTATCGAAACTCGATTTTTAGGGTTATTAGCCTTCAGGCCAACCGCTGAGGTGACGGTGGGTGCCGTTAACTAGCTGCCTTCTCTCTGTGATTATGTACAGTTGCCATTGTATTGCGTTGCTCCAGAAGCTACACTGTTCAAACCCGGGATTTTAGCGTTGTAAGTCCGGGGGACCTTATCGCAAGAACACAGAAGGTAACATATTTCTACGCTGTAAAAAATGTAGAAAAGAAATAAATTATATATTTTTGTTAATATTCTTGTGAAGATATTATTAACCCTTTTCATAATATATATCACGTAGTCTTACCTAACTCTTAAAATTAGGGATCTAACCCGTAGCTAAATATTCTCATACATCTTGTACAAAGCTACTTCCATCCTTAAGCGAACGTGTTTTCTCTGCATTACTGTAATGTATCGCAGGAAATACGTTTAGAAAAATATCTTTCGATACACTCAAAATATGTAGAGCACGTGTCACGCATGAGCAATTAATACTGATTCATTGGACATCTTGAAACCTGACACAGTTCATATTATAACTAGGAATTTACTGGACAGCTTGAAACCTGACACAGTTCATATTATAACTAGGAATTTACTGGACAGCTTGAAACCTGACACAGTTCATATTATAACTAATTCTGAATTGATAGACTATAGAGAGCAGCTTGTCTACACCACATATATCCTTACATAGGTTGATAGACTATAGAGAGCAGCTTGTCTACACCACATATATCCTTACATAGGAATTGATAGACTATAGAGAGCAGCTTGTCTACACCACATATATCCTTACATAGGAATTGATAGACTATAGAGAGCAGCTTGTCTACACCACATATATATCCTTACATAGGAATTAATTCTGGAGATATATCTTACACAGAACAAGTATAAATCCTTAATTTGACACGGGAATCTGGTTAAAGAAAGTCATGTTGTTTCTCAGTTTTTACTTTTCCTAGATTCTGCCGTCCGGAATACTCCGTTCCGGAAAAACTAGAGAATTTGAATAATCTTACTTGAACAGAGACTCCCGAGACTCCCACACGGTGTTCCGTCTGAGTGTCCACCACACAAACACAGTTAGAACAAAGAACGTGCTCGTCCTGCAAATCCAGGTCGCTTTAGGACCCCAGTCCCTCAGTTTCTGCAGTCCGTGTGTGACAAGAATATACACTCCTGCACTGAAGAAGAAAAAGAGATAACATTAGCTGGAGTAAAACATTTAATTACTGACCACGGAAAGTGTTAAAAACACTGGACACTGTTCGTCGAACTAAAGTTAACGAGTTCCTGAGTACGTACATAAAACAAATATTTTCAATTATACAGTTAGTATTGATTGTAGTTATTGAAATATATAATGGTCTTGTCTTACCTGTCTGAATCAATGACTATATACAACTAATACGTCTGAGAGAGGAAAAAACAAATCATTATCGTATTCATCAATATCTTATAACAAATATATTTACTATAATTACGCACCCTAGTGGTAATCATATAAATTATTTACTACCCTTTCTATTGCTAAATATATATATATTATTTTAGTACAAGTAAAAACAAATAATCAATGTATGAAACATTATGTAAGTTAACCTTCTTACTTAATATACGTTAAGGTTACACCTATAGAGATAGACAGTGTATACACGTGACACGAAGATCACAAGTTAAGATTATACCTATAGAGATAGACAGTGTGTAAACGTGACACGAAGATCACAAGTTAAGGTTATACGTATAGAGATAGACAGTGTGTACACGTGACACGAAGATCACAAGTTAAGGTTCTACCTATAGAGATAGACAGTGTGTACACGTGACACGAAGATCACAAGTTAAGGTTATACCTATAGAGATAGACAGTGTGTACACGTGACACGAAGATCACAAGTTAAGGTTATACCTATAGAGATAGACAGTGTGTACACGTGACACGAAGATCACAAGTTAAGGTTATACCTATAGAGAT